TCTGCAGGAAGGTGGCTCTCCAGGAACAGGGTTGGTCAGCGCTGATGTATGTATTACATCATCTTGGTATCAAATTACAAAAAACGAATGCTTGTGCGAGGCATTTGAAATGCTTAGAGTCAAGGGTATGGGGGCAGGACAGTACATTTGATGTTGTTCGTTCTTCTGGCTAAAATGTTTTATTTTGCAAAAATGTAGGCAGAGAGACGTACTTCCAATGAGCCTGACTATTACATATCTTATAATTAACTAGCTGTGTGTTACGTAACATGATTTACAAAGTTCCCCTAATGTTAAGACTATATTAACACTTTATATTTCTCAAACTGAGCATTAAAGAAAACCTGATCTGTGAACAGTTATCTGATGTTGTGTTTTTAGTTAGATGAGACATTCTCAGTGGTCCTTAGTAGCTACAGCACGCCAGCCAGTCGCCTTGGGAACCGAAGAGAGGTCAACATTACAGTGCGTAAGAGTGATGACCCATTTGGGGTCATTGAGTTCATTCAGCCTGGTTTAGACTTCACCATCAATGAGAGTAAAGCCTTGGATGTTTACTCAGGTACAAAGATTTTTTTAGCTACGCTTACATTTCTCCAGTAATGTTAAAATAACATCTCATAATTTTATTTGTGATAGCATATTACCCCATTGGAAGAAGCAGGGGTAGGTTTGGGAATGTGTCAATCCTTTGGATTCTTGAGCCAACATATTCAGGAGACGTCAAACCAGTGCAGGGTGAGATCATCTTTGCTGAAGGAGAATACCAGAAGAACCTGACCCTGTCTTCTGTGGCAGATGAGGTAAGCTTCAGCAGTACATACAATCTTTATACTTCTGTTTATAAAAGAGATTCCTAGTTATGTTACGCAAACTCATCTTTTGTCTAATGCAGATCCCAGAGAAAACTGAAAATTTCACCATCACCATTCTGAATGCAACTGGTGGAGCAAGACTAGGAAACATGCTCAGTGCTAGGTTAAGCATTCGTGCAAATGATGATCCCATATATTTCGCCGGTATGTTTGTGACTTGTTACAATGGTAAATGTAATGTTACTGGGTGTATTTTTTATTATTTTTTTTATTTGTTTATTTATATTTGGACTGCTTTTTTTTTTGCAAGAATGCATTTAGACCAAAAGTGACTATTAACACAACAAATGGCATTTTTTTTATTTTTAATTTCCTAACACTTAAATAATAAACTGCATAAGTCTTCCTCAAGGTTATACTTTGGGTGTCCTTCTTTTCACAATTTATATGCCACCAATTAGACACATAATCAACCAGGCATGCGTCTCCCAAACAAATCAACAAAACTCATTGCTGAACTACTGTAGTACGATGCATCATTTGGGAAACGATTGTTGTAGGCACGAGTGTTTCCCATAGTTGTAACTTAAAACGTTCATAATGATGCTCTCAATGGGATGGAGTAACTCCTTTAGAGAAAATCCCCATAACTTTTTATTTATTTATTTTTTTTTTTTTGTGGAAATTATTGTTTTACACGCACACGCATTAAAAAAATGTCAATATTAGTTTTTGTTTATATATAAAAAATATATATTTCCTACTTAATAATATTCAATCATTCATATTCTTTTCGGCTTAGTTCCTTTATTAATCCGGGGTCGCCACAGCGGAATGAACCACCAACTTATCCAGCACATTTTTACGCAGCGGATGCCCTATTCCAGCCACAACCCATCTCTGGGAAACATCCACACACACTCATTCACACTCATACACTACTATCAATTTAGCCAACCCAATTCACCTGTACCGCATGTCTTTGGACTGTGAGCACCCGGAGGAAACCCACGCAAACGCGAGAAGAACATGCAAACTCCCCACAGAAATGCCAACTGACCCAGCCGAGGCTCGAACCAGCAACCTTCTTGCTGTGAGGCGACTGCACTACCTACTGTGCCACTGCCTCACCCTACTTAATAATAGTAAAATAATTATAATAGCCTATAGGCCCATATCATAGTACATTTCTTATTAAATAGTATATGCTACTATAAATTTGAATCAAAGTTTTCACAAGCTTTGATGACGTATTGTAGATTCCACTTTCCAAAGATCACCTACAGCTTTCGTCATGAGCCATGGCTGCATTCAAAATGGCATAAATAATTTCAAAGTGCACTAGAAAGGGAGCGCATTTGTCAATATGAAGATCTCTCAAACTGAACTGTAAAAAATACTTTGAAAGCAAATTACACCTAAGAGAGATGACTTTAATGTTTTTTTAATTTTTTTTTTTATCATTCCATGTTTAAATGTTGGAATATTCTAAATGAATAGGGCTTTTAGGGGCAATAATTGGGAATAGAACACTGCCAGGAACTATGCTTATAATTACAGCTCTAGAAGTGTGGTTGCAAACTTACAAGTCTGCGAATGTATGTGCAGTTTGTGAATGTTCAATGGAATGATGGAACCTTTGTTGGCTAACGATGGTTTTCGGAAACACACCCCGGTATAGTTTTAACTTCCACTTGTATGATTAAATCATAAATTTATTATTTATCAAGATTATTATTCTAATAAAACTTCGGTAATTTTGATTGGCTGTAAATTGAATGTTTTAATCAATCAATGGTCTTGTTTAGTACCCTTAGTATGCTCTCCATAACTTCATTATTATTACATTGAAATTACTGTGTTAATATGCATGTTAGGAAATGTAATTTATAACTAATGTTATTTTGCATTTTCAGAGCCTGTGGTTCAACGAGTGCGAGAAGGGGGTGTGGCCAATTTCACCATTCTTCGAGCTGGATTGGCTAATTTTGTCACCACAGTGAATTATCGTTTTGAGTATGGCGACACGTCATCAGAAGATTTCATTCCACTGAGCAATGACACAATGCTGGTCTTTCATTTTGGGGAGTGGATGAAGAACATATCGGTTGCTGTGGTAGATGATAACATACCAGAGACAGATGAACCGTTCTACATTGTTCTCTTCAACGCCACAGGTTTGTCACGACCTCTCATTAACCTTTAATAAACTAAATAATCAGTGCATTTTAAGTTTGTTAATTTTTGTTCCCTTTCACCTTGCATTGGTTTTTGGGTGATTTCATTTGCCAGTTCTTCAAATGCTCATATTTTAAAATGCGTAGTCTATATTGGACAACAAGCTTCATTAAATTCTTTGAATGTGAGAGAAATACTGTTCTTCAAGTCTGTCCAGTAGCCCATTAAGCATTTGTTTTGATTCACAGAGATTGGCTTTGATTCTGAAAAGCCTTTTTTAATCCCTGTTTTGTGGAACACACACACACACACACACACACACACACACACACACACACACACACACACACACACACACACATTTGAGAAAGGGGTTGGGTGACTGTAGAAAGTTAATTACAGAACTGTCCTTCTGTACATCACAAAGCAATCCAACCCAAAGCTTTCTCTCTGGAGGTTTTAGCAATTGCCTCGAGGGACCGCGTTCAGATGCATGCTGTGTATTATTAAAATGTGAAGCTGTGCTTTTGAGGGCATAATTTGATTGCTGTGGTTAGCTTGTACCAATTACAGCAGTGTCTCATGCAGAACGCTATTTAGCATGACAGTTACAATGTGTGAATGTTAAACAAATGTGGTGCCTCGAACTGAAAGCACAAGCATTTGCTAATGAGAAATTCGAAAGGGATTTGGGACAAAATATTTGCATGCTTCATTATGAATTTCTCTGGAACAACTGCTTGCTTGTTTGTCAAGGTTTGCAATGTTTTATATTTTGTAAATGCAAGTTTTCAATAGTAATAATTATTATTTTTTATTAAGCTTGATCATGAATATTGCAGATATTTTTTGTTAGATATAGTTGGTTGGGTCAGCATTTTTTGTTAGAAACTCATACTCTATTCATCAAGGAATATAAATTATTCCCTGTTTTGGGGTTGAAAAATTCTGAAACTTACATTTAAGGCTTTGTATACGACTCTTTATGACTCTGGTGTGATCTCCTCTTCTTTGAATATACAGTGCTCAGCATAAATGAGTACACCCCATTTTGAATATAAACTTTTTTATCCATTTCTCTGTAAATATATTTACATTTTTGGTGCATTTGAATAAAACAAATATACTAAATAAAATAAAATAATAATAACATATTTTTTAATAATAAAAATGTATTTTTTTTTATGTGCGAAAATTATGGATGACAACTTTGGATTTAGTGTGCGATTACCTTTAGGTTCAAGCACACAAAGTAGCAGACAAAGCATCAACAGAACAGAATGTGCCAAAGATTGAATGTATTTTTTTCATTTTTCATTTTGTGCAAACACCATTGATGAAAAACTGCACAAAAGCATGCACATCACTCTAAATGGGTGCTCAGCCAAACAGCAAAAAGAGCAGAAATAAGGCAATTCAAACAAGGCATTACTGATGCCAGGCTACAGGTTAAAACACAAAAGTTGTCTTTAACTCTGTCAATGAATGTATAATTATTGTGCAAGTAAAACGGTTTCCAAAACCAGTGTTGAAATGTGTGTTTCTATATGTATCTTTTAGGTGATGCAGTTGTTTATGGTCAAATTACTGCTACAGTGGTGATTGAAGCCAATGATGATGCCAATGGCATTTTCTCTCTGGATTCAGCTCAAAAACCAGTGGAGGAGGGAAAAACCAATAACTTTTAGTGAGTCTCCAATTCTCTATCTCTAATATACTGCTAAACCCAGCACAGGCTCATTCTGAAAGTGTAGTCCCGCGGACGTTTCTGGAGACTGCAAATGACATTTTTGTAAGCGAACGCTATAGGGTAGTATATGAAACCGTTCTTTTTGGTTCTTACCGGCTGACCACTTACCTTCGTGTGGAGGGCTTTCCCGCCGCAACCAGTTTGTCCAGTCTGTCCAGACCACGACGATGACCAGGTTTGAGTCCAGGGAAGAGCGGTTCCAGAAATTAGGTAAGACAAAAACAGAATCCAAAAACATACAACGAACGGGTGAACAACAGGGTGAGAATGAGGTAAAATCCGAAAACGGGGTAAAAATCAGACGAGGGCTATTCTTTTTCTTGATGGCTTTTGAAGTAAGCAGGCAGGTGGGTTAAATCGGTAAAATTTGTTGGGTTTAGGGAAGGAGGAGGGTGGATCAGTCGATTGGCTGGTCGTCCAGTCAATCATTCAGTCAGTCAATAGCAGCCTCTGGTGGGTTCACGTGAAAACAGCGTGGACACGAACGGCACTCGCGAGAGACATTTGACATGTTAAAAAAGCACACACAGCAGGCTCTCGCGGATTCATAAAAACGAAAACTGCAAAAATACGTACCACCCGGGATGTATTTCGCGGTCTCCAGAAACATCCACGGGACTACCTTTTCACAATAAGCCTGGGTTGGTTAAACCAGATTTCATATCATGGATTGATTTTGATTCAAATAAATCCACACTGTCTTTTAATAGTACAAAATCAATGTTAATCTACTATGTTTCATCAATTATTTTTTCCTCATTTTGTCTTCAGTGTTCTTCGAGACAGAGGACATTTTGGCAATGTCACAATATACTGGCAGCTGTTTGCCAATGACACCCCACTTGAGCCCTATCAAGAATTTGTGAACACGTCTGGATTTATAACATTTCGCACAGGGGAGAAGACAAAACCCATTGTTCTTGAAGCCATCTCAGACAAGCTCCCAGAGTTCAATGAGTTTTATGAGCTCAGACTTATGAACGTCTCAGGTAAAGAGTAAATCATTTTATTCATCTCATTTAAACATATTCAGTTGTTTAAATCTATTCCTTACATTTTGGCTAATATTGTTTCGTTTTTATACCCGTTCACAGGTTTTTGTGGTTTACACACTTTTATACATGGTTTACAGTATAGGGTTCCAAACTCCTGGAGGACTGCAGCTTTGCATAGTTAATTAAAACCCTAATTAATCTCTAACCCTAATTAAAAACACCTGATCCAACTAATCAAGGTGTTCATGACTATTAGAAACTATTAGGCAGGTGTGTGTTGGTGCTAGTTGGAGCTAAACTGTGCACAGCTGTGCACAGCTGCTCTTCAGGAATTGAGTTTGAGACCATTGGTTTACAGGGACACTCCGTAGGCGTAATGTGTTTTATACTGTAAAAACTGCTGATTATAGCATCCACTTTGAATGTTATCAGTTCTGGTAGACTCAGAAGGCTGTTATCATCTATCCTCATAGATAATCAGCTATACTAAGAAGAGTCCAGATCTATATTTGTTTTTACATTACTGTGACGGTTGGGTTTAGGGTTTGGGTAGTGGTAAATGTTAATGAAACACAATTTATAGGAAAAAAAAAATTAATAGAAATAATGCTCATTATATATATATATATATATATATATATATATATATATA